TCTCAAAGTGCTTCACAGAATATACTGTAAAGTGGATTGTGTATTTTGTGGGCGATATGTGGCAGCCAATTGCACACAGCAACATCCGACAAAAATTCATGGATTGAGTGATCACATTTTTTTTTGGAGGGTCTATTACCCCGGGAAAGCAAACCGTTAGTCAACTAACAACCGGGTTCCTACTAACTGCTACTACAGAGGTTTGTGGATTAAGGAAACTTGTCTAAAGTTTCACCCCGCCCAAGAATCGAACCTGTTCTCGCTTGCGAGGCGAGAGTGCTAACCACTATGCTACAGGACTCCAGATGGCTACTACATTCTACTAAAAATGGCATAAGCGTTGTATTCCTGCTGTCACTAAGATACTTCCTCCCTATACTTGTCTAAAGGAACTATTGATGGCTGTGAGGGTGGCAGCAGGGAAACCTTAGATGAACTAATTAATATTCACAGATATTTGTCGTGGACTTCTTACGTAGGAACATTGGAACAGAAAAAGATTATTATTATTCGGCGAGTTCTCATCTGCCTGTTCATGGTCCCATGGCCCTGTTTGAAAAGAGAAGAGAGTTTCTCCCGGTGTCTGGCCAACAAACCCCCAGGTAAAATTGTTCATTCATTGTGCTGCCCCATTTGTGAACAAATACACAGACATTTTGCAGTAAATCCTGTGAAACTCTTTGTTTCATCCTTCTGACACAATAGGGTTATTTATTCAATGCAAGGATTGTTGTATCATTTTTATTATCTGTCTACAGTATCTCCTTTTTAAACATCTCGATCGGTTCTGCATCTATGGCTTTCTGGGGCAGCACGCTCTAAGTTTGCGCAGCCCTCAGACAGAAGAGCTGTTTTGTGATTATCTTCTAATCAAACTATCTCATTGGGTGTAGATGTCTTCTAAGGAATGATTGAAAGCTCTCAATTCAATATGTTCTCAACTGAAAGTTATTTCTTTACATTGATGTGCTCTCGTACTTTAACAAATTGCATGCTCTCTATTTCCCAACCAAGCGAAGTGGTTAGTGCGCTCGCCTCACAAGCGAGAGGAACTGGGTTAGATTCCCAGGCGGGGCGAAACCTTCGGCAAGTTTCCTTACTCCGTACACCCCTGTTTATCTAGCAGAAAGTAGGAACCCAGTTTTTAGACAAATGGCAGATCACTTTCCAGGGGTAATAATCCCTCCAAAAAAACAAAAACATTTGGTCACTCAATCCACAACTGTTTGTGCATAATTGGATGCCGTGTTTCACCCACACAGTCAATCCACTTTGCAATGTATTCTGTGAAGCTCTTTGAAATGTCTCAACGGTGTGATAGGACTTGATATCAAATGGAAGAATTGTTATTATGTTTCCCCTGCATTTCCCTTTCCTCCCTCAATCCCACCCTCTCTCAGTCCCTTCCTCACTCACTCGCTCGCTGGCTCTGCCTGCCCTATACAGCCTCTCAGTTTCTGGCTGGTCAGTAACTGATCATTAGAATGCAATAAGACACCTCTCCCACTTAAAATTCTTACTCTTGTAAATATGTTTTGACATCTAATAATGATAAGCTTCAGCTAATTTGCCCCCTACCTCTGGAACTCTCTTCCTGAAGCCCTCCTCACTCTTTCCCTCTTGGCTTCCATAACACGTCTGAAAACCTCTCTGTTTGATTCCGCTGCCAGCCTCCTCGCCCCTGACCCAAGTTCAAAAAGAGAAGGGAGATTCTCCTGGTGCTCTGGCTAGCGATTCCCCCAGATAAAATTGATCACTAAGCAAATGGCTGTTTGTGGAACATTGTTGTGTACCAATTGGTTGCTGTGTTCGCCTACAAAATACACAGTCACTGCACTTTGTCCCGCGAATCGCTTTTTGAGATATCTTGATATCGTGAAGCACTATTTCAAAATAAAGATTATTATATAATTAGATGCCTTTCCTGCCTCCCTTGCACCCTGGACTGACGCCCAGTCAGTGTAAAGCTCTTTGAGATGATACCCCTATGTGACGACAACAAAACAGCAACAACAACTTGCATTTATTTAGCGCCCTTAGCAAGGGTAGTGTCGTGGAGCACTCAACAACACCGGAGCCCGACACAATCAATTTGGTTGCACAACTCACACTATTAATATCACACCTTTGATTGCCTTTCCGGGGTAACAAATCGTTCAGAAGAAAACAATTGGTCACTCAATCCAAGACTGTTTGTGGGATACTGCTGTGTGCAATTGGCTGCTGCGTTTCGCCCACAAAATAACAATCAATTCACTTTACAGTGTATTCTGTGAAGCGCTTTGAGACGTCTTGAAGATATGATAAGGTACTGCAAGGATTTTTATTATTAACTTAATGTGCTTCCCAGTGATGATGGGGGTGATTGAGCAGGGAGCGTTGGGGGAAGGGGTTGAGGGTATTAACAAAGGTACGATCAAAAAAAGTTCTTCAGAGGGTTTTAAAAGCAGGAAGAGAAGATGCAACGGGAAAGTGGGAATTTGGAGAGAATTCCATTGTGGTTGATCCATTGGCCATCGATGAAGGGAATGAGAATAAGAGTAAACTCCGGATAACTCGACCTTTTCTCAATACCACTTACGTCATCATGTTATCAATATCCTGGCCACATTTATTTATGTACTTGTACATTTGCCTAACTCGCCCCTCCTGATAACTCGTCACCGGACCACCCCCCCACCCCCTTTTCCCTTGGAGCACCGAGTTATCAGGAGTTTACTGTATTTAGAGCTGCGTATCAGCTGCCGATTCACAAGCTACAGTATAATGCAAACCATGGTGAACCAGGATAGATCATGCGAATAATTACAGGCTGTAATGCAAATCTATGCTTTCCCCCCCAAAAAAAGTGTAAGTGGCAAATTTAAATTGTTTTAACTGACGCTTAAGTCCTGCGATTGGATTACAGCCGTGAAATCGACATCTATTATTTGCTTAATGATCTTCCCCGTGAATGCTTTGAGTGCCTTCCATCTGGTCCTGCCTGTGCACAGCATTATGTGGCGGCAGGAGCCAGCAGTTATCTACCCTCCGACTCGCTGGTGCGTGATGATGACATTCACGGGCGAGGGATGGGAAAGAACGCGGTGCTTTCTGGCAAAGCGGATTCAACAACAACTTGCGTGTATATAGCTGCCCCTCAGGCAGGGCGGTGTCACAGTGCGCATTATTCAGCCAGAAACAAATTTGTGGCTGGAAATTGGGGAATTAATCCGTGATTCGCTCCATGGCTGTTTGCAGGACACCGTTGCAAGCAAAAACTGGCTGCCGCATTTCGCCCACAAAATACATGGCCCACCCACTTTACAATACAGCGTATCCCGTGATGCGCTCTGAGACGTCTCGACAACGTGATAAGGTGCTACATCAAATGCAGAGATTATTATTAATGATAATTATTATAACAAGATCCGAGGCATACATGTAGCAAAAAGAAATGGTCCTTGACGCAGACCCGCTAACTTAACTGTTTCTCCTGCGTAGAAGTGGATATCATAATAAGGCTGATCAGTTCTCTCATCTCAGTGACTGGACAAATAACAATAATAATCCTTGCATTTGATACAGCGCCTTATCACGTCTTCGAGACCTCTCAAAGAGCTTCGCAGAATTTACTGTAAAGTATATAAATACGAATATAAATGTGATGTAAATGAGCACACTCCACTGTTTTTTCGTGGAGTGGGGTGGGAGGAGGGGTGGGTGAGGAGCAGGAGGCTAAGTTTAAGGCAGAGAGGGCGCTTGGTTTGCATGTTAGTGCTTGACAAGAATTTCTGAGTCCGTCTCCGTCTGCAGGCTCAGACAGACTGCAGCTCCCAACCTCCTCATCAGGGGGAGACGTGAGCACACAAGACTTGCAGAGAAACTGGTGGCAAGCATACAGATACATCCACATCGAAACCTCTCTCACACACACTCACTCTCTCTCCTCTCTCTTAAAGGAACACACGCCAGTAGATCACGGGCGTCACTTAAAGCGGAGCACACAACAGCAATGTCTTAGCTTAGTTGCACATACACACACAACCTGGGCATTCATAAAATGCATGATTCGCTGAAACACTGAACTGCCAAACTGGATTCCGATTGCAAATGAGGATCTAGGGGAGAGAGAGAGATAGTGCTTGCGGGGTGCAATAACTTACAGCTGGAACGCTCCTCTGTAAATCTTACTGGTCGTGTATATATATAGTATATAATAATAATAATCCTTGCATTTGAGATAACACCTTATCACATCTTCAAGACATCTCAAAGCGCTTCACAGACTATACTGTAAAGTGAATTGACTGTATATTTTGTGGGTGAAAAATAGTTCCACAGTATATAATCCTTGCATTTGTTTTGCATTTCTGATGTTTACGATTGCCCCACTAGACCCCAACAACCAAACTTGTGAGGAGTCACACCGATAACACACAAATATTCTCTCTGTTCTGAAATCCAGCCGCATTTGTGTTGCAAGAAAACATCAAGAAGCGTCTCTTGCTCTGCCTCTGATTTGCACATCTAAATACTGAGCTACCAAACTGGACCCTATTGCAAATATAGATTTAAAGGAGAGCGCGGGGTCCAG